ACTTTCTAATCAATGTTTATAAAGTTTCATAGGTAGAACAGGCTGACATTGCCCCAAAAAGTATGCTATAATTAGTTTAAATGCTATCCAATTTCTTTTTTTTTTTCAATTAGTTTACATGTATACAATTTATTAAACTAGTTTTCTACTACCAATATGACAGCTTAAGCTAGTTGAAAGATAGGGAATACAAAAGTTGTCTATAGTAAGCATCTATAGGAAGCACTTACATCTATGTATATACAATATTTAAATGTTTTACATGAAAAATGAAATTATATTTTATGATATATACCATATATTTTATACAAGGAATCTTGTGGGGAGATCCTTTGGATGGCACTTCTTCAGTCTTCTCTTCTTAGGTTTGGACAGGAGCCGCCTCGCTAGTGCGTTGGGGTGACTGTCTATTTACTATTTTGAAATGCATGGTTATTATTATTTTTGATTATTATTCTTAGTGATATATAGTATTGGTGTATGTCATCCAATCTGCAGATCTGGGGAATCCGCTAATAATCAGCTAGTATTAGGTTTTTTTTTTAAAGTTTCTGATCATTAAACAAATTTTCTCTTCCCTTTCTCTTTACTTGCAAAACAGAGCCAACAAAAAATAAAAGAGAAGGAAATTGAAAATGAATGAATTTCCATTTAATTTATTATTCAGATGTTTCGCATTTAATCAAATATTAACAACGTACATTAACTAAAACCGCATTCAATCACCCATTGAAATATGAATAGTATTTAAAACAGAGCATAAATTTTTCACTATAAGTGTGTCACATTCAATTTAATTCTGAACAATATTAAATTTTATCAGGCACTCACTTCAAACAGCAAATATTTACATTTACTAATTCCATAGTAAACTCAAATATTTTTTTAAAATGTGAATTAAATTTTTTTGTAGAGTATTTAGTGTAGTTGAAATAAGTTAAATTTATTATATTTTTAACACATCATTTAAAAATTTTGAATTAGAATTCCCAAACGATTGTGCAACATATAAGTACAAAATGTAAGCCCTTCACATGTACTCTATGGTCATCAAGTATATGCCAAGTTGAAGAAGAATATCTGACAGCTGAGGTATATATTTTTACAGTTTTGTCATTTTTGGTAATACTATGTGGCTGCATAATTTCGAGGCACTTTAGTTTTATATTTAAAATGTTTTTGTACAGGCAGATGGTTGGTTGTCATGATTCACTTATTTTTATATGATTTGTGTGGCTACATTCAAATTAATTAAATGAAACCCATTTCTAAAAGGTGACCTTAAATCGAACAACGTTATGATGGTATGGTATTAATTTGTATGTAAAGCTAAATATGAATTAACATTATATTGCAAAGATTTGAGTTGGTATGCTTGAGGTCATTAATTGTGTATGCAAATCATTCCGTTTCCACATTATCTGTATTCATTTTCAGGAATCGATTTGAATTTCAATAATTCAAAGCAGGAACACTCATTTGGGAAACAGTTTCTTGAATGATGCAGCTGTGGAGTAAAAATTCCATTTAAAATTAAAATGCAAATCACTTTACTGCTGCACATGCCTCCATAGAAAGGGTCTCATTTCAACCACGGCCATAAAATCAAAACCAAAAGGCGTGCTTTTCACCACCAAGTCCCAATGTATTTTCTTCATTCTCCGCTCCCTGGCCACACACATACACTCACACACACACACACACACACACACACACGTACAGAAGCATTCCAACTAAACACATTGCACATTGACGTTAGAGTTTTGTTACCCGTTTGAGGTTCGTTCTTTTTATGGTCAACTTGTATTCCGTTTCATTTATATTTCATGTGCGGTTTTGTTGCTGCTGCTGTTGTTGTTGTTGCTGCTGCTGGCTCTGTTGTAGCCGAGACAGTTTCACATTTTACTTTTACCATTAGTGCCAATTGTAGAATGGAGTGACAGACGAGTGTAAATGTTTGCATGTGTAGCTTCGGTAAACGGTTTTACGGTCCTTTTCAGTTTTTGCATTGAAGCTCAAATTCTAGACACTGTGGGGAGAAAGTTAAAGTGAGAAATGCAGCATGAGAACTTCTATATCATAAATGTTACATTGCATTTAACAAAATAAGATAATGATGACTTCTGCAGACTATGATGGCAATCTGAAATTGAAGGATTTAACCAGTATGTTATGTTGTAGATTCTGCGATGGTAAGAATGAACCACGTTTTCATATTCAAGACAATTTATATTTTAAAGAATAAAGCCCAGCTAAAAGTTAATTGGAATGTTAATTTTCGAAGGCTGCTTCTTACGACTTACCTGCATGATAGGTAAGCTATCACAAAATAAAACTCAACAAAGCCAAATTTCGGACTTCTCGCTCTTACCATTTGGGTTGTAAGTTTATTGAACAAAGCTGTTCGTGTTCCAATTTTTTCTTGAAAAACGCCAATACATCAATAAATCAAGTATGCAGTTTTATTTATTTTTTACTAAGAGTGTACAAACAAGTTTGAAGGCAATGGGGTGAAAATTTAGATTTTTGCTAATATTTTTTAATTGATTATCTTTGCAGTAGTAGTATTTTTAGTTTATGGTTGTTGGATAGAGATAAATATTAGATTAGATATCTATCTATATATCGAAGACGGAATTTTGTCCTGTTATTATGTTATTTAAAGCTCGTTTGATTGTTCTATTGATGAGGTTCTTAACGACTTTTGTGTTGAAGGTGATGTGCAGAGTGGGAATATTGTAGCAGCCTTTGCTGTCGTATTCACCAACTCATTTTCTCTTATTTCTGCGTATCCTGGTTTCCATATAAGTTAAGTATTATTCTTGCAGAGATCAAATTAACACATTATTGTACCTCTTTTCGCCGAAAAAAATGCAATCGCTGATTCGTTCTGTTTGCGTTCATTCCGCACAATATTCTATGATCAAGTGCCATCCCTTTGCAGCGATAAGATTCAAAACACACTGCCGGCACTTGAGAAGTCCATTAGCTCGCCGAGTATCGCGGAATGCTTGCATGCCATTAAGTGCAACTCACCTGATACGCGCCACCTGCCACACCCTCCGCACCCTCCGCACCTGCCACACCCCCCCGATACCAGCCGCTCCAGGCTGCAGTCAGTTGGTTGGCACTCATTGCTGCAATTTGCGTGTTCATTGTTAATTTGATGGCCAGAGCGCGATAAGTGAAAGCACCTCGACTGCAATCCCTGGCCAGTATACGTATCTGTGGCAATGCAGTCGGGAGGCGGTGTGGCAGCAGGGCGGGGCAGACGACTGCGGCGTCCGATGGGCGTTCATGGACGCATAATTGAACAATAAATTAAATAAAGGCGCTAGGGGAGACGGTGTCATGTGGCAGCCACATGCAAATACGCGAAACTCAAACTCAAACCCAATTCGATTCAGAGTATGGCAGTTTTTAGTGGCTTTTTTCGATTTGCGGCCAATTGAACTGTTCGCACTGATTTCTCTTGGGCATCAATAATGTACAGTTCATTGCTTTGCACAGTTGAAAAACGATTGTATAGTGAAGTGTATATATGTACTATACATACTCGTATATAAAGCAGACATTCAAATTGGTTTAAGTCGCCATAGCACAAATGTACTTAAAAGCTTTCGAATTGTAACGGATTTAGTCTAAATTATAAAAAGATGTACGGACAAATATTGATTTGTATATGTAGTTTTTAAAGAGAATTCATTCAAAATTTCATTAAATTTAATTTTTTGAACGTATGCGATTTCTGTTTTCCTTTTTTGAGGAAACACTCGTATATGAATTTTTCATTGTTCCCTCAATTGAGCGATGAAAGAGGGACATACTATTCACAAAAAAATAACTAACTAAATTGTTGAATCAACACACTTTTGTTAACGCTTCACGCTAAACTATCATTTTATTATGATGATCATGAGGGAAAAATGTTCTCCGAACATATTGCTGGCATAGGTGGTACTCTGGCAGGATCAGCGCGGAGTGTAAAGATGTTGGAGATATATTTAACCATGCGCAGTATAGCGGGAAAAACTTCGTGAAGCTTTCTCTCTGCTTCAGGGAGTGATGGATTTTCCGCCGGTTGACAGGTTCAGAACTGAACTGAGCGAGGGCGGATCATAATAACTCGACCATTTGTTGAACTAATTTATATGTTGAAAGCTGCAATTATTGAAAGTTAACATTTTGCAATACAGGGTGCTGAAAAGATAATAGCAACAGAGTTATATCATAAGGAGTCTGGAAGGAGGAAAGAGGAGTTGGCTAAAGAAAGTCAGAGAGATGTTCATCTTTTGTCAGCTGCTGATGATGATAAAGGTAAAGATAAGGGACCGGTAAAGAGCTCCCAGAATTGCCTTCTATATATCCAGACTATGTTAGTTATCACGTATTGTAAAGATTCCAGATGATAACAGATAACTAAATAGTTAGATACGTGGATAGCTCGGTCCAAGTCTCTGTACTCTGCTTATTACAAAAGCTGGTATAGTGCGTGGGATTATTTCTACATGGGATTATTTCTACTTACTCACCAAATCTGTTTATCATTACTATATAGCATGTATAAATTAGATATGCTTCAAATTTCTGTACAGAATGGCTGAATATCCAAATATCCACTATACCAAATAAAAAGTGCTTCTGCTTAGACACCCTTTACTAACATTTTCATAGCTAGCTGCAAATTAATTAAAACAAACCGAGGAGTGTTAAATTGCAACTGCTTATTTGCATATTTTTGGTATTTCTGGTAAACATGACATTGACATTTAAATAGAAATTAAAGCCAATTTGATGCGACCAAATGCCCTCTCATAAAATGTTCGAGGCAAGCGATTTGTTGGATTTTATTTGCGATGAAAATTACCTTTGATGTCCGACGCAGAGGCTTTATAGTCTGCCGGTCAAACACAAAGCGGGCACAGCTGTATTTTGACTTTGAACTCTGGGCAGACTCGAGGCCGACGCCAGGCAGACTCTTTGACTTTGATGTCACACAACACTTTAGAGTGTAGATTATATTTCAGCTTTCTGGCACGACTAATATACTCCCACAGACACGGAATGACCGATCAGAGCCTGGTAAAAGCAAGTACGTACAAGTAACTCCATTCATATATATATAGACACGCCTTCCGCTGACCATGAGTCTAGCCGCAGTGGCGAATTCTGTGAGCAAACGCGCGCCGTGCACGCAACTGGTGATGGGCACAGGTGGAGGTCTCGTGACTGGCTATTGCACTATTAAGCTGGGCAAGTTCCTGGCCCTGGCGATGGGCGGTGGTATTCTGCTGATTCAGTTGTTTGTCGAGCTCGGCTATGTGCGAGTTGACTGGCAAAAGATCGTCGCGGAAATGGAGGGACGATTGGCTGGCACTACACAGCACTTGGAGCGCAGCCAAGGAGTCCGTTTGATGGTGGGGTCCAATGCTCGTTTGTATACATCTTTTATTGGGGGAGTTTTCTTGGGCATTGGTATTGCCATTTAGCTTTTCATTTTTCGTAATAACATAGCATGTGTACTTAATGAGAAAATAAAAATTATGCTGCGGATTATAACCTTCGAGCTACGAATACTATACTTCTTTGTGAGGGCCGCGGTGAAAGTTGAGCCACAAAAGCCTTGAAAACAAATGGAAATGCACTTCAAAAATATTCACATACACACACACACACATACACACATGCAGCCACACATTAAAAGTTTGTTGGCGCAAAAAGTGGTGGGAAAACTTTGAAGTTGTAACAACATTTTCATGCGCTTTTAAACATTTCAATTTTCCCTGTGCTGTAAGCGAAAATTTATGCATAAGCAAAGTTTTTCATATCACCAAAGCAGGGGCCGCTTCACGAGCGCTGTGGGCGCGGCATTTGTGGCATGTAATTAAGCCAGTGTTGCCCCTTTTCGGTATGAACGCTACAAGAACAGTGCAACAGTTATGGTCCTTTATGGTCCTTCCAAAATCTGTTGTCAAATATGAAAGGAGATTGGAATGCTAATTAGTTAATGATGTGGTTTTGTGTGTAAAAGAAGGTTATTGGAAAAATCGTCCTACATTCGTTTTACATTTGAATCAATATAAATATTTTCAAGATTGCTTAAAAATTAATGTCAATAAGTATTATGTTTCGATTTTGATACATTACCGAAGGCTATTGATTGGAACAAAAATTTAACAATATAATAGAATTACGTCAAACCTCAAGAAGATACATTTGATTTGTTTGATATTTGAGGTGCTAGTTTTATTTCGTCACTATTTCAAATATTTGTTGCAAAAATATTCGTGATATATTTACCGCCAACCAAGAATAAGTTTCAAGTTGAATGCTGAGTTGTTGATAAAGATGCTCCCAATAGCCATGTTGATGGGCTGCCGCCTGGTTGCACTGATGATGCTATTGCAGTGTAGAAATAGTGGGACGTAGAGCATGAGCTAAGCTCGAATTTCGTGGAATCAGAGTTGGGAAATACAAACAACGGCTGGTATTGTTCTGTGTATGTTTTGCAATCTTAAAAGCCAGACAAACTACAAATGTGTTGCATACAAGGAAGGACAATCAAAAGCTATGGAGAGAAAACTGCCTACTTTAAATGAGTCTTTTAAACAATAATGTAAAGGGTATTGACGTCCTTCAATCATATTGGTCCCTCATTAATGCCCTCCCATTGTGCACACAATTATAACTTATACATACATCAACCTTTTGCACACTAACCTTGCATTTATTATTAAAATTTGAGCAGTTTTACGCTTTAATAGTTTCGTTTTTCACTTTGTCGCCGGCGGCTCTCTGCTGAACAAACAGAGCGGCCGTTATTCTGCCACTCCCCCTCTGTGGGGCTTCGTTGTACAACAAAAGCGGCAGTTAAGCGCAAATGAAAAGCTTGGGTGAGCGTATTGTGTTTTCCACGTTGATTTCAGGCAAGCATGAAAATTTAATGAGCAAACTTGAGGCTTTGAAGTTGCAGTTGAAGGCGAAGTCACTCTCCAGTCGGCTAAACTTTAAATTATTTAGAAATCTATCTAAACTACAGCCAGCAATGGGAAACAATGCAATCAAGCAAATAGCTGGCGAAAAGAGGTCTCCAATGCATTCTATTTTATTTCAAGGTATTATTTAATTTTGGACTCACCTCTTTAGTCCGATTGTGTATGTAAAATGTTTCGGCAAATAAATTTGCAAATAACTTCCATTAAATGCGTACACAATTTAATAATTCCAGGGAAAAGCTTTCAGCTGTCCAACGGGCTGATAAACAATTTTCATTTGCTATTTGTGGTCTGGCTGGCCACATGTAGTTCGGAGGTCAAATTGTTAGGCATACCAAATGCATTACACAATTATTTAGCAGCGCTTACATACGAATTTAGTGCTGTTTGGTTTTGTTGGATAAACAATTACGGCCATTTGTTGTTTGCCTATTGAAATTCCAGCATTGTGTAATATCCCCATTGTCGACGCTGTCGAATTCGTAGGGCTTACAAAATTGTGGTATATAATTGGTTTGGTTAGTTAGCTTTTGAAGTGGCCATGAATTTATTGCGAGCAAAATTGATCAATTTTCGAACAGGAATCATGGGGGGCTCCAAATGAGAATATTTAAATTAAATTTATTGTTCTTTATTCTTCCCCCATCCACCTACTTTTATTGCTCTGATGCATTTTATTATACGCTTTAAAAATAATCAAACAAAGATGTTGACAAACAGGTAGAAAATATAAAAACTATCAATGTGCTTAATGGCTCTTTCTTGCAGACGAACTTTACAAAGCCGTATATGAAAAGTGTCACACTTTATACGAAAACGTTTGTCTATAGGTTTCTGGCTCTGCCGACGCTCAATTCTGTAAACTTAATGCCACTAAAGGATTTCCTAATGAGGACCAATTTTCGAATAGGCGTGTTCGAAATGGGAATAATTAAATTGAATTTATTGTTATTCGTTACCATCCAACTAAACTGTAACTAAACTGTGGCCAAGCTCAGGACTGTGTTTGTCCTTGCATAGTTTCTTAAAACGAATTATTGTTTATTTAAGAAAAGCTGCATTATTGATTTATTTGATATATTTATTTAATATAGTAAAATGTTGTGTGAATGTCGTCTTGTTATCCTGATCAATAAAACCTAGTCAGGTCTGCTACGCCTTCTTCTGCTTGTTATTTTATTCACTTTGCACTAGCCTAATATTTTTTGAACCTTTCAGGTACAGAGTATAATTATAGAATGACATTTTCCTGCTTCAAAAATCCCGTTTGTGTCTTAATTATTTGCTTATTCGACCAAATTATTTTTATGGATTTTGAAAATGATTTGTCATTTTTAATACAAACGGTCCCCTTTTCCTTTTGAAGTTTGACTTATGCTTTTTTATTAGTTCCTATTTCTTACACATATGCATCTGTTTATAGTGGAGTGGATGTGCTATTGGGTTCACACCCCATTCATAAATGTTTCCTTTATTTCTTTTATTTTCAAGTATTAAATAATTATTCTAAACAGCTAATACTAATATTTGTTTGCGGTTGGCACAATAATTACATTTATGTATAATTCGTGTATGAATATGACTTTAATTAAATTGTTACTTTTTATTTTCTCATAATAATGATTGGGTAAATAGTACTTTTAAATAATTATAAAGTTCCACTATGAGTAGCTTCCATTTTACAGGCAAACTAAGTTGTACTCTATTGAGTATTGCGTTCATTATCAATCAACACTTCTCCTCTGTTGTTCGCGCAACTGCTGACCCATTCTAATCAGTGGACAAACTTTCAACTTTTTAACACCCTTTCATTAGTTGTGGACTTTGCTGCCAGCACTTGCAATTAATCTCTGCTACCTGGGAACTGGGGGCGATGCAGCTAATTGCCTGAGTTCCGGCAATCAGACGCGGTCGGCCAAATGCCACTATCTGCTCTCTGGTATTGTTTGACTTGAGTTTGGAAATTTGCATAATTAAAATGCCAAATTAAATGAACTTGGCAAATGGCTTAGCGGGTTGTGTGTTTGCTAACTAGCTTTAAATTTGATTTCGTTGACCACAAAAGAAAATATTTTTCGAGCTAGTGCATGGAAATTTCAATGCGTCCTGCGTTGCGCATACGCTACGTGGTACGTGCATCAATATGTGTATGTATATATGTATATGCACATATATATGTAGATATGCATATAGTATATGTATGTGCGATTGTTTGCGAGTGGCAAGTTTCGATTTAAATTGCTTTTCATTTCAGGGGACCGCACAGTCCGAAGCAAACCTGTTTTGTTGCCCATTAGTGTTGTTGCTCTTGTTGTTGTTGCTATGCACATATTTTATTTGGCTTGTTGCCTTTGTCCGAATCGAACGATCTGCTCTCAAGCCCACCAATGACAATGGCAACAGTCTAAGCCACATGTCAAATAGTTGTCCAAACGTGACAGTCATGACTGCCGTTCTGTGCTCGGCATTTCTAAATGCCTTCAGCTTGAATTTAAAATAATTTGTATTGATTTTTATGACTCTGCATTTGGATTTTAATGTATATGTACGCCACACAGAATTGCTTCAAGTTCAACGATTTAAATGGATTTTTCCTTTAGAATTTATGCAGTGGTCAGCTTTTTCCTTCGTGCTTTCTTTTAGGCACTTTAAATCTAATATGGAGTGACATTTAACAAGCTGAACGAATTTATTATGCCTGACAGCTGGAATGGTACTGACGGTCTAGTAATACTCGCAAAAAATTACATTTAAATGAAAAACGTTTTTGAAAGAATCAATAAAATTGACTGCTGAAGTTATTGAAAAGTTGCTCAGCTGGAAGTTTTCATCCACCAATTAGATATAAGCTATAGAAATAAAATCGAAAAAAGATAATTCTATTATATCTAACTTCCAATTGGTACATCCAACGAGTTAAAAACGAAATAATAAATGTTTACTAAAGCTGTTTCTTAGTCAAATCATATTGTGCGTTCACAACTTATTTAAACACATAATCAATAAAAAGCCTGTTTCCGAATTCAGACTATCTATGTCTGTAAATATAAACATGCAGAATGCATATGGGAAATCAGAAAAATATGGGCAGGATTTGAAAAAAGCTTTTCTGAATATTCGCAATATAGCTTCACTCACAACTTGTACCATGTATATGTCTAATATTGTATTTTCATGTGATATAACTTAATAATGTTCTATTTTCAATTAAAACAAAAGCTTAGTCTTACTACTTAGCAATAACCGTTTTACAATTTTGCTGTTGTTGGACTTGTTTATGGTCATAAGACTTGCAAGACGTGAGGCACGTAAATACAAGTTAGAACACTTCTTTTTTTTTGATGCGAATAGCGTACGAGTATAACTCTAGGTGCTTTAAATCTAAACACTCTTAGGATGATAAGGAGTCGATGCATTTAGACTTTCTAAACTTTATTTAAAGAGTCTCGGAGTATGCAAAATCCTTAGTACAAATTCAAGTTGACAATTGTTTTTTGCTAAAGTTCACATTTAGTTATGAATTAAACCTCAAAAGTAACATTAAGAAAGGAATTAAAACTATTCTATTAAA